CTTATGTAGGTAAATATGTAATCACATTTAGCGTCAGCCTAGACACAGCCACATAATTCAGCTGGAGGTCAACAGGGACAAGCGGAGGAAGCCGAAGGTGGCTAGTAGTACTACGCTCGAGTGTGGATAAGGAGTTCCAAAATTTTGTTGCATTATTTATGAATTTAATAAAGATGTTCTTTGATTAATCGGATTAATCCAGTAATCACAACAAAATTGGCGACGAGGAACGAGGATGAGCACGATGCAGCCACGCAATGAGTAAGCACGTTTCCACATATCACAAGTTCAAGATCCATCCAATGAAACTATTTTACCTGATTGCTATTGCTCATCGAATATAAATAATCAGCATGACGGAATTAACCCAATTTATCGCTACTTTGCAACAACTACTGGAAAAAGTTAGTAACCCGACCCCGCACCCAGAGACGCCACGTCAGGAAGATAAAGAGGATGCTTCAAAGATACACTTCGACAACTTCAACGGAAAAATAGAGTCATTTACGACGTATATTCAACGACTCGAAAACTTGTTTGACCTCCATCGAATTCAAGCCACTCCTGACGGAAACGCACTGCGAGCCAAGGTACTTCTAAACTGCATTGGCACCCAATATTATCAACTTCTCTGTTCACTATGTTCACCAGATTTGCCTACTTCAAAAACGTATATCGAAATTGTAGATGTTTTAACGAAACATCTATGTCCAAGGCAAAACATAGACGTAGCTCAATTCAATTTTATGAAGAGATCTCAAACAGCAAGCGAAACCATTAGTGAGTATCTAGCTTCCTTAAAGCAATTAAGTATACCTTGTCAATTCAATTGTATACATGATAGTTGTAAACGATCAGTTTCGGCACTTTTCCTACGACCAGTATTCATATGTGGCCTTCGAGATTCAAATATTCGCGAGAGGTTATTAATCGAACAAAAACAGTCATTTGACGAGCTAGTTGAACTTGCGATCACCCTCGAAGCATCAAAGAGGAATAACGAGAATCTTGCGGCAAGCTGTTCATCAACCTTACCAACGGGAGCTATTCAATCAGCTGTGCAAGTTAATGAAGTGAAATCTCACAAGAAAATTCATCGAAACCGCAGCCGTAACAGGAATAGCGATCATGTTCGAAATTCCTCAAACTCTCAAAGTCGCTGTAATTCACAGACACGTAATAAATTCAGTTATCTAGGAATAGGTCACTTATGTTTACGCTGTGCACTGGCAAATCACTCATCACGTGAATGTAGAATCTCGCAAGATAAACTGCATTGCAATTCGTGCAATAAATCCGGGCATGTTGCTAAAGTCTGCATATCTACGTTATTCAAAAATCGGAAGAATCGCAATGCTTCGGTACAATACCTCGATGACCCAATGCCTTCAAGCAGCTCAAGTTCAAATTATGTGCTACAAGTTGTCACCATTCCAAATATTTTGAACACCTCAGTTAACTACACTGACAGAAAGTTTCAAATTGCTGTGCAATTAGAAAATAAGGAATCCAACTTCGAAATTGATTCTGGCAGTCCTGTAACGTTTATGTCGAAGAGCAATTATGATAAATTAAAGCTAAGTGCGGTTATTCAAAGTGCGGACATTCAATTTCGTTCGTTTACACTACAGCCATTCACTCCATACGGAAAAGCGGAGATAAGTGTTCAATATCGTGATATAGGTGCAACACTACCACTTTATATCATTAATCGAAATGTAACGTCGATTTTAGGAAGAGATTGGATGAAAACTCTAGGGTTATCAATAACTCATACAAATCCCAGTGATCGTACACCACAGGAGCCCTACGCAGTTCAACAAGTGCAGTCTCCCAATTCAAATTGTGCGGAAGAAATATTTTCTACGTTTGCAGATCTGTTTAAACCAGAAATAGGATGCATTCCCGGGATAAAGTGTTCGTTACGAATTCGCGAAAATACGAAGCCCATGTTTTTAAAAAACCGTACAGTGCCATATGCGTTACTCGATAAAGTAAATAAAGAGCTTGATAAATTGGAATCACAACAAATAATTACCAAGACTACACACAGCGAATGGGGATCACCTTTAGTAATCGTACCGAAATCAAATAATGAAGTACGGCTCTGCGTAGATTTTAAAGCTACAGTCAATCCAAATTTACACGAGGCAAGATACCCCATCCCATTAATCGAAGATATTTTCAACAGATTACGAGGTGGAGTATATTATTGCACCTTAGATGTACATAAAGCATATTACCACATCAAAATGGACGAAGAAAGCTCAAAAATTCAAGCTATTTCTACGCACCGCGGAGTCTATCTCATGAATCGATTGGCTTTTGGAATTAAAGTCGCACCCAACGAATTTCAACGTATCATGGATGAAACATTCTCACACATTCCAGGCACCGCCGTGTATTTTGATGACATTATTATCACAGGTAGTACAATTGAGGAATGTCGACAGCGGTTAATCACCTGCTTACATAAATTACGCTCGATGAATTTGCATTTAAATCGCGACAAGTGCAAGTTGTTTCAAACGGAAGTGACATATTTAGGGCACACAATCGGGAAATTTGGTATTAAGAAAACGAAGGATAAAGTTCAAGCCATTGTAGATGCGCCACGCCCGATCAACTCCGAACAGGTACATTCCTTTATTGGTCTTACGATGTATTACGCCAAATTTCTACCTGATATCTCGACAAGTACAGCGCCATTACGTGAACTGTTGAAAAAGAACGTTAAATTTGTGTGGACAAATAAATGTGAAAAGGCTTTCAACGACATAAAAACGTTAATATCGAGTGATCGAGTTTTAGTGCCCTACGACCCGTCGTTGCCACTTGTGTTAACGCGAGTCCGGTCGGTATTTCGGGTGTTTTATCTCATGTGATAAACAATGAAGAGCATCCGATTGCTTTTATTTCTCGTGCGTTAACACAAAGTGAACGAAATTATTCCCAGCTTGACCGTGAAGCTACCGCAATATTTTGGTCTGTTAAACGACTTTATAATTACTTGTATGGTCGCAAGTTTACCCTTATTACAGACAATAGACCACTATTCCATATTCTGTCGCCTTCTAAGCAGATACCAGCCATGTCCGCAACACGATTAATTCGGTACGCATCTTTCCTGAGTGCATTCGATTTCGACATAAGTCATCGCCCAGCAAGTATGCATGCAAATGTCGACTATTTTTCTCGTGCAACTAAATCCGGAAGCTTACTAGTTAACGATGAAGACGAACATTCGCAATATTATTCAAACATTGTGCAATTTTTAGATTCCGAACTAATCACGGCTTCAACAGTAGCGAAAGAGACCGCCCAAGATGAAGAGTTATCTGCGTTACTACACTCGATATCAACGTCTCTCGAATACGCTCCGGAATACTCGACACATAAAGGAGTAGTATTACGAGGGAATCGAGTCGTAATACCTACGAGCTTACGCCCTCAAATTTTACAACAACTGCATTCCGTGCATAGCGGGATCACGAAAATGAAAATGATCGCCCGTAACTACGTCTATTGGCATGGAATAGATCGTGACATTGAAAATATCGCCAAATCCTGCGCCGTCTGTGCAAAAATGCAATCAGATCCGGTGAAGGTTCCAATCCATTCGTGGGAAAAGCCTGACGCTCCATGGCAACGCCTTCACATAGATTATGCGGGACCCAAGGATGGTAAATTTTATTTTGTAATCATCGATAGCCACTCAAATTGGCCAGAAGTATTTGCATCGAATAGTGCTCCTAATACAGAATTGACAATCGAATATCTACGAGAAGTGTTTTCGCGGTTTGGCATACCCAGGATTATTGTTTCAGATAACGCCACTATTTTCACTAGCGATCGCTTCACATCTTTCTGCTCGAATAATGGAATCAAACAGTGCTTTTCAGCTCCAGGCCATCCGGCAACGAACGGCACTGCTGAACGAGCAGTACGGACACTGAAGCAAAGGTTAGCTGCATTGGCCGATTCACCGATTCCGCATCACATTAAGCTACACGAAATTTTATTTACGTGGAGGAGCACACCCTTGAATTCAGGATCGACACCAGCGGAACTCATGTTAGGACGACCTATGCGCACCAAATTTGACATTCTACGCCCGGCTCAAGAGAAGACACCATCTGGGAATTTACTGCCAGTAACACGAAAATTTAAAGGTGGGAGAAAGGGTATGTGCACGAAATTACGTAGGATCGGAAAAATGGAAGTTTGGCACCATTTTAGCAGTATATGGTAGCCGACATTATTTAATACACCTTGACAATGGTCATGTGTTAAAACGTCACATTAACCAACTTCGATCGACACAAGTGGAAAAGCCAGAACCGCCAATGCCAACGCCCAATCGCAGAAAAGTATCGTTCGCACCCAACTTGCCCATCGTACACATTTATAACGGGAACCAAAGTGATCCATCAAATAACTTAGTGCCTACACAGCAGGAACGAGAAGTTGGGGAACAACCCGAAGCAGCTACACAGCCCGAACCAGCTGCACAGCCCGAGCCGCAGCTAATACTCCGACGATCAAACAGAATCCGAAACCAACCAGTGTGGATCCAGGAGTATGTCACCAAATAAGACATTTATTTAATTATTTGTTTTTGCTTTTTGTAATTCTTAATTCAAATTGTTTCGACTTCTGCCACTCTATTTAAAGGTGGGAGAATTGTTGTAACCTTATGTAGGTAAATATGTAATCACATTTAGCGTCAGCCTAGACACAGCCACATAATTCAGCTGGAGGTCAACAGGGACAAGCGGAGGAAGCCGAAGGTGGCTAGTAGTACTACGCTCGAGTGTGGATAAGGAGTTCCAAAATTTTGTTGCATTATTTATGAATTTAATAAAGATGTTCTTTGATTAATCGGATTAATCCAGTAATCACAACAAGTAACGTCAAAAACCAATCTATGTTTTGGAAAACTTTAAAATCTTTTAACCAAAGTACTACAAGCAACCCGATAACTATTGAGCAGTGGGAAAATTTCTTCGCTTCCCATTACCCATCTAGGGTTTTAGACAACAATACATATCTGGACGCCTGCCATCCTCTACTGGATGAAGACATCACTATGGAAGAAGTTAACGTGGCTTTAAATTCAACCAAACGCAATAAATCACCTGGAAGTGACAAACTTACATACGAGTTTATCAAGAACCTTCCGATAAATTGGAAATTGTTTTTAGGCTGCCTTTTTAACAAAATATTTGCATCAGGAGCAATTCCGTCTCAATGGTGCACCTCACTATTCTGTATGCACCATAAAAGGGGACCCAAAGCTGACCCCAATAATTATCGTGCAATAGCACTAACAAACTGTTGTTCAAAAATTTTTACTCAAATTTTACTGAATAGACTCAATAGTTGGTGTGAAGAGTTTAGCATTCTTCCTGAATGTCAATCTGGTTTTCGTAAAAACAGAGGATGTACTGATAATATCTTCACCCTCTCATCTGTAATTTACTTTCATCTACGCTTGTCTAAAAGGAAGATATATGCTGCATTTATCGATTTCAAACGCGCTTTTGATAGCGTCAATCATACATTACTGTACAGGAAACTGTATTTGGCTGGTGTAAGTTCCAAAATAGTGAGAATAATCAAAAATTATTATGATAATGCTGTTTTTGCGATCACTTCAAGTGGGTTGCAGAGCAGATTATTTGATATATCATGTGGAGTATTACAAGGTGAATCACTGAGTCCTCTCTTATTCTCAATATTTATTGGAGACATAGAGAACTACTTCAGGAACTGTGGCCACTCTGGTATAAACATTGATAACTACACGGACTTAATTCTACTACTCTATGCCGATGATCTAGTCATTCTGGCGGACTCACCTGTAGACCTTAATGGAAAACTGGTTTCTCTAGCAAAATATTCTGCTGAAAACATGCTCACAGTAAATACTGAGAAAAGCAAAATTGTAATTTTTAGGAATGGTGGATTTGCTGCTTCATCAAGTAATTCATTTTACTTTAACGATACACGACTTGAAATTGTTAATAGTTTTAGCTACCTTGGTGTAACCTTTTCGGCCTCTGGCAAATTTTCTAAAATGTCTTCCTTGACAAAGACTAAAGCAAAAGGAAGTATAGGTTCCGCCATGCAACTTCTTTCAAAAAATAAAATAAACTCCTGGACCACGAGAGAAACACTGTACCATTCTATTGTAATTAACTCTCTAGCACACTGCGTTGGCATCTGGGGACTTAGATATCCCGATGTAATTGAAAGAGTTCAAATCTCTTATTACAAGCAACTACTAGGCTTGAGCAAAACAACTCCAGATCACCTTATTCGCTTAGAGACAGGCTCATGCCCGTTATTTGTAATTGCTATAAAAGCTGCGCTTTCTTGGTTACACCGAATATATGGAATGCCCAACGGTAGACTACCCAAAATGTGCCTTAACCGTCTGCTACATCTAGACTCAGCTAATACCACTGTATCTAATAAAAATCTCACTCTTAATTGGATAACTCAACTCAAAGATGTATTCACAGAGCTAGATTTACTCCATGTGTGGACTGAACTGACAACAGGGAACGTTAAACCACACATAAGTGCAGTTGTTGAAAAATATAGAAGTTACTCATTTGATAAAGATATCTCCCAACTTCAATTGTCCACGTACGCATTATTTACGCGTTTTTTTTCATATGATGGTAATACGTCTAATTACCTAACCTTTAAGTTACCCATACACATGATACGATTACTTTCGCAAATAAGGCTATGCTCAAGGAAAGTGATCACCTTCAAAATACAACAAATTACCTACAGAATATACACAGACGAGATGTGCACCCTTTGTAATCTTAATGATATGGAAACTCTAGAGCACATAGTTATTAAGTGTCCTATGTTTCAACCATACCGGGATGCTTATATCAGCCATATTAAATCTGTTCAGGACCTTTTGGACAATCTTAACAACGAGTCTACACAAATCACCCGATCACTTTTTAATTTTATTACCCAAAGTCTAAGACTACGATCCTTTATCATGAATGAATAATTGTTTTCGTTTATCTTGGACCTAAATTTTTTTTTTTTTTTTTTTTTTTTTTGTATGAAGATGTACTAAAATTAAGTTAAAACTATGTAAAACTATACTGGTAGGTACATTACAATAGGTAGTTACTATTATTATTATTTTCCTTTGTAAGCTTGATTAGTGTTTGGTAGTGTAGGTATGTTAGTTTAACGCTAAACCCTGCAATAAGTTTTTTTGTTAAGAAAACTACTAAATGCAATAAAAAAAAATTAATTAAATTAATTATACATTTTACTTTAAGCAGCACCTTTATTCACAGAATTTATCAGTTATTAAGAGGAAAGTTTAAGCTGCGTATGCGCGCATTTGAGTTTCAATACGGGTGCTACGTTTAGTTTTATTAGAAAGTTGTCGGCGAATGCTCAGGTTTGTTTTTAGCGCATTTCAAAATAAAAAAAATGCGCCATTGTGGCCACTTTGTCCGTCCGTCCGCTCGTTTTGAGACGCTACTAGTTTTTTATCTTAAGAGCTATTGTTCTACTTTTTTCGCTATTTGGTTCGTTATGGTGTCGAGTCTTGTACCAAGGAAGGAATTTTTTCTGTACCGCTTACAAAAAAAGTTATTGTAAAAAAAACAAAAAACCGTTTTTTACATGTTCCATAATTTTACACTTTTGCCGTTTATTAACGATCCTAGAGATCGTTTATAATTTTGCATTGCTGTCTGTCATCTGCCTGTTGGTCTGTCCGTCTGTTCTTTTGTCTGTCTGTCCCTCTATCTGTCCGTGTGACCGATAACTTTGTTTAGAAATGTCTGATCGCTCTTACATCTCCGTTAGTTATGAACGGAATTGCATGAAATTCAATATGGGCATAGCTTTAGCCATATAATACGCAATGCCAAAAGTTGAGTCGAATCGATTCAAAATTCACAGTGCCGTTTTCGCATCTCGGCCATTTCTAAACCGAATTGCAAACTTTTGTTAATTATAAAAGTATTTACATGATATTTTATACATAGCCACTTGGAATAAAAGTAAATTTAACGTCAATTTCAAAATTTGGTTTTGCGCATGCGCAGTGCCAACTTTCTTATTTATGGAGGGATTTAAATGAAATTTGATACATAGCCACTTGGGATAAAAGCAAATTTAACGCCAGTTTCAAAATTTGGTTTTGCGCATGCGCAGTGCCAACTTTCTTATTTATGGTGGGATTTAAATGAAATTTAGCCACTTGGAACAATAGAAAATCTAACGTTAGCTTCAAAATTTAGGTTTGCGCATGCGCAGTTTCAACTTTCTTATTTAGTAAAGCATTGAAATGAAATTCTTCTTATAAACTGAAATTGAAGTAGGACATCAAAATGGATTGCACATTATGCAACGCTATCTTTCATATTTGTGGCCGGATTTTTACAATTTTAACAAAAGTTGCATCTTACAAATAGGAAATGAATGCAAGTTGAAATGCGCTTTATGTAAATCGTTTACGATTACTTTTTAACTTGTTTTATTATATATGCGCCATGTTTGTTTTTATTAGAACCGACATGTATAGTTACTGTTATGGTTAAAATTTCAAGATAAATAAGAAAATTGACATTGTGCAGTCTGCGCATGCGCACATTTGAATTTTACTATACGCTATACACCTAAGAAGTATCTGTGACTAAAGTTTTAAAAAGTAAGACGCACGAACAGAGGGACGGACGCACAGAGAAAGTAGCTATTCTTTGAAAATGTGCTCAAAATTGACACTATTAAAAATGCACCAAGACCAACAAATTTGTCACAACTATTTAGATTCAATTCATTTTTATAGTTTTTGCCCATATAATATATATAGGATGTGTTAAACACATTGTAGGTACATTTGAAATTGTATGCTAAGGCACATTTTGACGAGACATTTCTTACAAATTGAACGACAAGCTCTTGCTATCATATTTGGTGTAATAGTATATTATTTTAATAGCTGTCATGAAGATCCAAGTGAATTACAGTCATTACATGCGAGTAGAATACTGTACTTTATCCACAACTGCCTCATATATATGGTTTAGTTTTGAAATTCGTGTAATAATTGTTGGACGATTGAATTTGAAATTCACCAAGGCAACCGTGTCACAAGATTTTGACAAGTTGTGATGTAGCATGCTGGTAGCACAGCCCTTGCACAGCCATCTATAAATATATTTAGTCCAAGATAACAACAGGCAGAGCATATTTTAAACTATAAAGTAGGCGACACTAGTGCCGCCTAGTAAAGACTTTTTATTGCCCAGTAGTGAGTAAGGAAACCAGTGGCAAAAACTTTTGAGCTTTCAAAAGCAAATTTTACAATGGAGTGGAGCCCCCAGTATGGCACACTGATGCTGGGTTCAGTGCCGCCTAGTGGAAGTTATTTAAAATATGCTCTGACAACCAGGGTAGTCCTCTTCTATCAAGTATGTAATAAAATGTTCTAGCTGAACTATGCTACGTCTATTCATTTTGCTTATTCATAATAAGCAAAGCTAAGAAAAGAAATTCCATACTTTTCGGATGAGCTGCATTGGCTGTGAACGAAATGTTTTTTCCTAATTACCTTGTATATTTAAGAGGCATATTTCATACTATTCTTCATTTTCCCTACTTCTACTTCTACTGTAAACTGGAAGGCGCTTTTATAAGCGCCGGTATTAATTTTTGAATTTTTAATCAACCGGTAATCGATTGAATTAAACCCCTTTTTTGCGTTTTTATCAGCTTTTAAAGATAAAAACGATCTTGACCTACACGAATCCATTTGACGGTCACGCTCCGAAAATTTGACATTTCCGTGATCACTTTTGATCAGGTGGTGGAGTTGAAAGACGTGATAAGTCGTCAGAGGAGATACGAAAAAAAAACTTAAAAGTCTTCTAAATGACCTAGAAGAGTGCTGCTGTTGCATGCTGTGTCCAGTTTAATATCCAGTATTAATTTTGTAAATTAAACCTTATAGTTTCATTTTCCAAATTCCAGTTAGTAATTATGCTGCGAACTGCCGTTGTTAGAGGTAATTTACTTCGCCAGCCGATAAAAAAGGCGATCCGATCGAATATTACGAGGACTTTCACTGTTGAGGCTTCAAAGAGAAAACATTTTAATAGGTATGTAAATTACTAGATTGAGTTTTACATAACCGCTCTATTTTTAACCTATAATGTGAATTGGAAATTACTTTTCAGCAAGGTCTCCTTATTGCAAACAGAAAAACATTTAATATGGCAACAGCGAATTTTAAGGAGGTACTCCAGCAATCTTCCGGCACACACGAAAGTCACGCTTCCTGCATTGTCTCCTACGATGAACATGGGTAACATCGTCAGTTGGGAGAAGAAAGAAGGTGACAAGCTGCAGGAGGGCGATTTACTAGCCGAAATCGAAACAGATAAAGCGACTATGGGGTTTGAAACACCAGAGGAAGGGTATTTAGCGAAAATATTAGTGCCAGCGGG